GAAATGCTGTGGTGTTACTTTTACAAAGACGGTCAATGAAAAAAGGAATGTGGACCAGGGCAATACTTTGAGTTTACACTTACAGCTTGTCCAAGGTCATTCGTTATTAATACTATTAGTAATATCTTCGTTAAAGAATTTGATGGCGACAGCTCAAACATGAGAGGTTGAGCTTTATTAGTTCCACCTTGCGGAAATTCTGGATACTATTATTTTGCTAGCAGTATTTACCGGTAACTCGCGGTATTTACCGGTAACTCGGGGTAGACTGCGTACAGGGTACCGGAAAATAATGCGGTATCGCCCGCGCATTTTGAATGGCTGCATCTGTATAAAGTGAATTTACACTTGTGTGCAATAGGCCAGAATGTTACCTGTTTAGGAAGCTTAGTGCCACTGTAGCCAGTCTAGCCGTGGGAAAAATCCCAACCCACTTGATCCCTCTCTTCTCAGTAGAGGAGCATGTAACCACCCCATCGCTCGTAGCTCACCCAGAAGGCAATCCAAGATTGAATTCGGTTCCAAATCTTGAGATGGGTATGTCTATCAAAGCTATCTATTGGCTGTGTCTAAATGATCCACCACTGAAGGGTGTAAAGCTACTAAAGCGAGCAGAGGGAGGTTAATGAACCCCATGGAGAGCAGATGGGAAGTAAACTTTCACTATGAGTTATGACAGGCATGATACAGCTTCCACAATGCAGCTGCCCAATCACTTTTCCAGCAAGTTCCTGAGGAAGCCATAATGCACCTTGGTGACTTAACACTCTACCGTCTAGAACCAAACAATATAAGACCAAACTTATATAAGGGGCCACACTGTTGAATTGGGTAGTAACATAAAAAAAAAAACAGTGAGCCTTGAAGGGGTACGTGTAGTTGTGTTTGTCTTTAATGGAACAAACCTTCAAACCACCCTGGTAGGTACCAAACACAAGTGTTGTGGTTCATCAGGGGGGTTGGAAACAGAAACTATTGCTCTAACACTGCTGCTGGTAGCTGGATCATGACTGGCGGTGTACTCTGGATACTGTAAGCTCACATCAAGATGAACCCGGGTATTATGAATGAGTCAAATGTAGCATGTCAAAAAAATGAAGTGACCTCTCCCCAAATATCTGCCTACTACAGAGGTATCAGTTATTGACAGTGAACTTCCTGATGTGTAAAGCCTAGACTGAGATGATGTCTCCTACCTTGGTTATACATGCTCCAGGTGTTATGATAAGCTAAGTGATGGTCAGCTTCTCATGTGAGTGTGACTTGTCATCTGTACTAGCAGATGTTATTCATAATGTTTGTTTCCTGTATGAATTCTCGAGACTCTCGATTCTCGCTGTATGTGCATTCTTAGGTGTAATACTATTAAAACCTTCCTTCATGATCAGAATATGAGACATATATAAGTTTCATGTATTGTGGTTGGAATAACAATTGAATTGTATAATACAAAATATTTTAGAGTAACAAATGCTTAAAATCATTACATGATAACAATATTATTTCAGTGACAGGCTGCTGCTACATTCTGAACTTTAGTGTGCAATCGACTGTTCTGCTTATTATGGTATAAATTAAGCCCTGTACTGTAGGGGGAAGCTGCCATTACTTTGGGATTGTTGCAGTTGAGAATATTTTTAGTACAGAGGTGGGAATTAATGTCAGCATCTATGTTCATTGCAATTGGTATTTTACTAATGTACTAGTTTAGTACGGAGCTGTGTATTCGACACCATTAAATCAACACTAGTTGGTATGCTGATTTGACTTTGTAGCAATTGTCCCACAATGACTACAAAAAGTTATGTCCAGCAGGCTTTATTTATGGTCTTTAATAGGCCATAAAACAGCAAATACCAATGTCATGTTGTAACAGAAAGAATAAGTTCTGGATCCTGAGATGAAGTTAAACAGATGAGTTTATTGCATGCAAGGAACAATAAAACCAAAGTCTTGTTTCCCACAAGAAACAACAAAACCGAAGTATTGTTCAAAGTGCCGGTACAAACTTTTAGTTTATATAGCCCTTTCCTGCCGCTTCTGACGTAACTCATTATTATGGTAATGGCAGAAGAGATCACGGTATTAGGACAGTTCAGAGCCTTTTGGCCAAATGGTCAGGGATTTACCCTCCCTGGGGGGTTACCTAGCTGGCATCTGGAATCCTTATCACTTATCTCCCTTTCCTGCCATAACTCTAGTCTGTTGCTTAGAAAGGAATCAGTTAACCCCTTCTTCACATCTTGTATCTTTCTTCAGTCAGCCCAAAAAAAACACAAACCCAACTCTAATATCACCTTGTGTGCCCTTTTAATAACAAACAAAACCTTAATTACACGCATGTGAATATATGCATTCCTAAGCTAAATATATATTCAATATTCTCTAGTGTGGTCTCTAGCAGCATGCCAGCTGCAATTATTCCTGATTAGAATAAATGGAACTTTTACATTCCTTCAAATGCAGAGTAAATTCTGCAAAGGCATTTTTCTCCATCATTTCTACTTGCTCTGTCTGTTTCCAGGTGAACACAGCTGTGCATGAAGCCAAGCTGGTGGAGGAATGTGATGAGCTGGTGGAAATTATCCGGCAAAGGAAACAAGTCATTTCTGTGAAAATCAAGGAGTCAAAGGTAGGGTTCTGCTTCTTGTGGATGAAATGGTTTAGGAGGGATGCTTGAACCTTCACTCAATCATACATGTTCAAGTACAGTGGTTTTCAACCTGTGGTACTATGGTACTGCAAGGGGGCCATCAAATGATTGTTGTAATTGTAAAAGAGTCATAAACATATAACATAATATATATAATATAAATAACATAATATAAATATTTTATAGATATTATGGCTAAGCATGCTGCATGACCAACGTGACTGCCATTTAGCACAATTTATACGACAAGACATGACAAGAATGCTAATGACGAATGTAGTTTTACTGCCTAATTACCTTTCATATCATAGATAAGTGGCTTACGTTTGGTTCTCTTATGAGGAAAAACCCAGAGGAAGGCCCATATACAAGCAAATAAACTGCTTCAGTGTCTCACACTGATAACCCAAAATCCAAAACCAAACTAAAAAAGAGAAAATATACAGTAGCAGTGAGTACCAGGCTCTGGGCATTACATGTGCGGCAACTGAGACTGTGTGTTCCGAAGTGTTATTAAATGAGGCTTTAAAGCCAAACAAATTACAAAGACACCTGGAGACAAAATACAACGATTATGTGTCGAAACCTATTGAGTTTTCTGAAAACAAATTTAGAGAATATCAGAGAAAGAAAAAAATTATTGAATCCAGTTGTGCGGGAAGCGAAAATACTAAAGCAGTTAACTATTGTAGGCTATTGAGTGTCGGCTATATAGTTGTAGGCTACTGAGTGACCTTATATTCTACTTGTTGAATATAATGTAACAGAGTTAATATCTACTTCAGTTTTATAATTGTTCTGAAAGTTATTGTGCATATTTTTGTTTCTCAACATCTTTACAAGTTCATTGGCACAGAAGGCTACACTACAAGTGTGTGAGATATCATAATAAAGAAAGAGCTGTACTGGTGCCTTAGTTTTCACAATATGTGTAATTACATTTTAAATCTACAGGAATATAGATCTATGAGGTTCGCAAACTTTTTCTCTTTAGAATGTAGAGGAAACACATTTCTTAAATTACAGGTTTCTTTGCTGTAAAACCTTCTGAAACATGCATTTTCATTATTGGATAAGTTGTAAATGTTGTGAACAATCTTTTTAAAATTTCTATAAGCTGATGGGTATGAAACATATCTGACAAAAAAGAGGAAGCTGTGATTTTGTCAATGCTTTTTACCTAGACCATCATGTTCCCTGTCAGTACTTTTAATAAACCCTTTTATATAATATAATAAAAATATATATGTATATAAGAAAAAAAAATATTCAAAATTATCAGATACTACTTAAGCAAAAAATCTAATTCAAAAATCATGTCAGAATGCCATGGAAGATATGTGATACACAACCTACCTTAATCATAAATATTTTAATTATGCAGAAATATTTTATACATCAAAGCCTTTACCAAAGATATTACTAATAGTTAATAGTTTTAACAGAGCATTTAATAATTTCTAAGAACGAAAATGATTTAAACTATGCAACACTTATCATTCAAAGAGAGCTCAGAATATCACATGGATCCTCAAGAGCACAACAAAGACAGCAAAAAAGATATGTGTATCAGATACATCAGAATCCAAACCTTTTTATCTATGCTTTCATATCTATGCTAAGAAGTAGTCTTTAAAATTTCTTTACCACACATTAAAAAGTAAAAATTCTGGGGTGTGCATATACGAAAGAATATAGCATGGTTTCAGAAGGGTGTCAGCCAAACAGATCTCAGGACCAGAATTATCTGTTTTATAATCCGGAATATAATATGGAATCAAGTATCTAAAGACATTAATAATGATATTAATTTAAGGATCTAAATATCTAAATCTATGTATCTATATAGCTGGTAGTATTACTGTATTCCACTTTCTTTGTAAACACGTTTTGTTAACACCAGAATGGCAGGTAGATTCAGTTTTTTGTTATGGTCTGTAGCTCAAATCCTGCTTAACTTAAAATTAGACACAAGAAGAGTATTATTGGACAATGTTGTGAGGCTCTGGTGGAATTTCTCTGTAAACTGAAGAGTTATAGAGGAGACACGTTGTGTATTGCCTCTTTTTACACTTTCCAATGTTAATGCGACACGGAAGATATTATTAATAATGTTGCGCATTCAGGCTTCTGGTGTATTGGTCGTTAGTGAAAAGATTTAATCATTTAATCTCTTTACTGTGCATATTTTAATCCGTTTAGTATTGAATATTTATATGGAATTTTACCACTAAAGGGAAATTTTATTAGCTGAGCATAAAAAGCAGAGGAGCATAACGCATCTGAAGGTCATAAACGATATTAATTTAGGAACATAAACATTTTTTTATGTAAACTGTATGTTGCTGGTAACCAATATTCCATTTCTCCCTAAACATTTTAAGCATTAAAGTCTTACATGAGGTTATTTCTGAACGTTTTTATGTAGTCCTTTTGACCATATTACTGTATGTGTGTTGCTGTTTCAGTACATGTCATGTGACTTGCCTTGGTGGCGTGACGGCTTAGGTGAGTGATTTAGAGTATAAGTGTGAGGTCAGGTGTTCAAATCCAACAATTGCTATGAGTTTTCTTTTAACAAATAAACATTTCTTTGAAAAACTAAAATAGCAAATATTATGGAAACTACAGTATATTGACATTTTTATATTTCAAAATATCACAACATGTTCGTACTGTATGTACACAGTGGTACCGCAGGTTGTACTGTAGGGCACAAATCCACATGAGCCCGAAAGCCCTACATTAATGTGCATTCGCCTGGCACTGTGCGGTTTTCATCACTCTCCGCGGGAGTGCTGGCTGTGATTAATTAAACTGGTTTCATAGGTATTTTCAACGTAGAAGGAGGCGAGTCTTCCAGCAAAAGACACCTCCCCCCACTGACACGTTTTTTTAGAAAAACAGATTCACAGTGCAAAGCTGTGTCAGTCTGTGTCAGTCTTCTGTGTAAAAAAAATCAGTTTGAACACCATGCTGTTTTTAATGAGCTGTTGAGTAAAAGCATAGGAATCTTTCTGCTGTCAGCAGTATTGTGTATATAAAATTAAAAAATCTTGCACCTTACTCAAAGATTCTAAAATGATCACGAGGAAGTGTATTGCATGTCTAATGGTCTAACAAAAACTGCAGTATGCTTAAGAGTTGTTAAACCGGTTTTTATTTTTCAGCACAGACAACTTTGCCTGCTAGAGCACCACAATTCACACTCAACCACATAACAGATCAGTCCCAGTGTATGACATATTGCTGTTTGATATTTGATCTGAGCTTTAATAGAGAGCTTATCTCTATTAATATATCTATATTAATATAACTGGTGGTATTAAATGCAACTTTTTTTGTATAAATGACACTTTTCTAAAATTTATTTAAAAAATAAATACAATTACTCTAATCTCTCCACGTTTGATCCCATGAGGAAGTAGTATACACTCCTGCTTTGTTTAACTATGGTATGAAAAATAAATCGAAATAGTGAGAAAGCTATGTTTAAAGTTAATTAAGGGAGTTAGAAGGCCAATATAATGATTTACATTGCGTTGTCAGATTGTGAACCAATAAAGGCATTTAATTAAACACACATTTGTGATTTTAATCAAAATGGGGAAAATGGGGTTAGACCATTAGACATGCCATACACTTCCTCATGATCATTTTAGAATCGTTGAGTACGCTGCAAGTTTTTTTTATACATAGCATTCAGAAATACAATCAAAAATAGTTTTGTGGTGTATGCATTGATGGAACTTTTCTAAAATGTATAACAAAATTAAAGACGATTAAAATCTGTTATCTGTTATCTTTCCACATGTAATGTAATTAGAAAGTACAATAAGTTCCTGCTTTGTCTGTTCCCTCACACCTGAAAAAGGATTCACAGCAGAAATGTTGCAGGCAGACACGGCTACCCACCCAAGTAAATGTGTTGCAGTAAATGTTTATATCATTATATCACATTTTTTATTTCTTTTTTAAGCAATTTTTTTTACCACGCTTGAGCATTCTTTTGCTCATATCTTTGGAAGGGAAACACAGAAAGCCTTCAAACCAAATGCATTTTAAAGACCACTAGTTGTGAAAATGTTCACAGCTTGCACATAACACTATCAGTGAGCTAATTCTCTTTTTTTAAACCTCCGGTTTTTCATCGATGTGTAATTACACACTAGCTGGAATCCGAGGGGATCGCTGTGTACACATGTTGTGATATTTAGATATTTAGAAATAATGCCACCTCACTGCCGTCCTGGAGGGGAAGGCCTATCAGGTGTTGCTAGATTTACCCAGGGACCAGCGGAACAACTACGCGACGTTGGCGTCAGCCCTCTGGAGGCTTTTCAGTGGGAGAGGGGAGGGGCCGGAACAGCTGTGGCGAGGTTGGCCCAACGCTACTGCCTAGTGGGAGAGCCACTGGGTCCGGTTACCGAAGACATTGGCCTACTTAGCCCGCCAGGGTTACCCTACTCTCCAGGTGTTTACAGTATTTAAACTGTACTGTATGTGGCTGGTCTTGGTAGTTTAAATAAAAATACACATCAGTATTCCACTTTCTTCCTAAACATTTTAAGCATCAAAGTCTTTCATTTGGTTACATACTGTGGTTATTTTGGAGAAAAAAAAACGGGTGATTTTTTTTTCTTGTGATCAGCCTAGAATCTTTGTGTAAGCTATACGTTTTTAACTTTTTAATTAAACTTTTTAAACACTTTAATTCTGTAAATGCAACCACGCATTTTGTACAGATACAGTACAATCACATTCTCCTGTCTTACCATGGTGTGAAATGCTTTTAATAGTTTAAATATGTTTCTAATTAAATTTGAGAAAAGTTAAATCTACACAAGCATCACAGACTATTTTTCGATTGTATTTCTGGATGTTATGTTGCACTTCAATATTTTATATACATCTAAATAAATTCAGGTGTCAGGAGCATAAACAATAAGTAATCAATAATTAGTATTGAAATTTGCACT